ACTTCCAGTTTAAAGCCAATTTGTCTAATAAATGTTCTTACTGAATTGCATGGCACTTAAGCTTTTCATCCTGAATGACTCAGTTTAGAAAGGGAGACTGAAATAATAGAAGACAGTTCATTTCAAAGTCAAGCACTGTCATCTTATTCATTCATAAGCTATCACGTATGTTTATTAAGACCTAGAGCAGATATTTCATTTGATAAATTGTGGCAGTAGTGGCCTTTGCTTCTGAAGGCTGGTGGACATTTGATTCATTTTGAGATCACTGATCAAGGAACTATTTATGAGGACTTACGTGGCAGTGACCTGTGAGCTGATTAAAATGGCATGCTGGATTGGCATTAGCACAATGTCTTTTATACATTTTACAGCATTATTATGTTATCAATTAAATTGGAATTGTCAAATGTATTCTGTGTATTTTAAGGCTGTAAAAATTCTTGTAGTCTATTATTAGTGCTTGTTATTTAGCTCATGAAGTAAATATGCTTGGACTAAAAGTTTCAAGTTGAGTGTTTTAAAAGCCAGGTCCTGGAATTCATTCTTAGTCATTTGACTAAACAGAGCTTGATTCTCGGAAGTACCGGAAAGCTGTTCTGAATTCAGTAAAAGCTCTGGAATCTGTGCATGGGTTGTTGTCCTCAGAGCAGGTCAGAGTAGAAAAAAGGCCCACAGAGCAGAGACCTTTCCCACAGAGAAAGGGAAGAGAAACTCTAGGATTATATGAGCAAACACAAAAGCAAGCAGCAACTGTATAAGTCACCGTGATGATTATGTGTATTTCTTCAGCTAATGCTGTTAAATATTTATATTCCTTGCTTTAAAGGACTGCATTTCACCCTTCATTCCTGCAGGACTCTTACTGTAGATTGTGGTGATTATTTACATTTCAATTTATTTCTCAGCCCATTAGCCATAATTAAAAATAGAATTTTGTACTCTCCAGAGTCCTTTCCTGGAGACTTTCACCTTCTAGATGAAAGGGGATTAGATAGGATAATTTATTGGGCTCACGTACAGTCCCCTGAGTGTACTGTGGCACTAAGCTGAAAGAAAACTGAAATGATATCCAGTCTGGCAACCACTCGTACCATGAGTAGAATAAATCCTGCCCCTGGACAAAAACTCTGTCTTGTTCCGTCCAAATTTGCTTGAATTCCTTATATGTGTGGGCTCTTGGTAACACAAAGTTAAGGTTGGAGAAGGCAGTGGTTGTCTGCCAAGGCCGTGTGCCTTTAATATGCTGGACTCTGTACCTGTGTCTGTGTTGTCATGAAGTGCCTTGGGCTGCGCCAATGAAAAGTGCCAAAATTATTTTTTACGGTTATGACATTCCATCTTCAAGAGGGAATTGGAAATGATGTTCAGAATCACAGATCTGACATTTGATCATTGCTCTTCAATTACTTTTCAGATTTTTAGGACTTTTTAGTACTAAAGTCAAATAGAAATAGTCATAAATCTGGCAGAGGCTTTGCTTTCTTGCTTGCTTCTCTTCTGCTTAGTCAGAGAAACAAAAAGGAAGAAATACATGGCATTAAAAAATTTCTTTGAGGTGATTATTCTATGAGAGGAAATAGCAAACCTCTGTTATCACATTTGTTAGGACAAGGTTTCAGGACCATGATGTCTTTTGAAACATTTCTAGGTGCCTTATTGCTTTCTTAAATGCTCTTAAAAGTGTGCTTTTTCTTGACTCTGAGTTCTTTGTCTTTGCTAGGTACTAATGAGGGATCATCCTGAAATACTCTTGATAAAACCCCAGCTTATTCATACCAAAACACCTTTTTCTTCAGCTCAGAGGGATGTTATGCAATGTGTCTCACAGGAAAAGATAAAAGGTCCTGGCAAAAGGATGCAGCTGGCTAGGGCTGTTTCCACTGCAGGAAGGGATACTGGCAGGAGGGTAGTTTACTTGGACTGAAGTGTATTGATTTCTGCAGACACCTTATTGCAAAAGTTTCTGATGTCCAGAACAAAATCTGGTCTGAAAGAGAAGATAAAAAACCTACCACCCTAGAGAAACTGCCTGTAAGAGCACAGGATTGCTGATACCATCCCAGCTTCAGGACCCCAATTCTAATTCAGGCACTGTGAAAATATGCATCAGTTTAGTGAGATCCAGTCTATACAGGCTAGGTCTTTATTGCTGTTACTGACTGAACCCTAATGACATAGTTGTTTCTGTTGGTAGTGTGAATTGCTTGGATATTACACTTGTTTTAGTGTCCTTCAAACATTTTTTCCATTAATGAACCTGTGCTACCCATATGCTATGATTCACTAGGGATGCTTTGGTAGGTTAAAGAGATGTCTTTAACCTGCAACACTTCCTCAGCATAGCAACACTGTGGTGAAAAATGGTGATTACATGTAAAAGCCTCATTGTGGAAAATATATCCCTTTGCACATCCAATTCATTAGGGCTATGTAACTGATGCAAAAACCACATACAGTTTTCTTGATTTGCAGGATTTTTCAGTCTATCTCAAACCTGATTCTCATTACATCCTTGGGCTTCCTCCTAGAAACCAGGAATACTTAAAAGCAATCTGTGGTTTGTGTCATCAGTGTATGATTCAACCACTGGAGGAGATACATTTGGGTAGACTGAAAGATAAAGGAACTGGTTGTATTTTCAACCTAAAATAGTACTTCTCTAGATTGCATTTGGGCAAATATTATTCTCTTTATGTGCTTACATCCCAGACAGTCTGTGGTATACCTGTGAAGCTGAACTGTCTTGTCTCTATCTTACCCAGGACATATCCCAGAGACTCTTGCCTTCATTTTTGTAGGATTGTGAGCAGAAGGAACTGAACATGTGGGAAAATTAATAATTGGGTAGCATTCATAGTTTTATTCTTAATTAAGGACTAGTGGCTATGTGAAATGTATTTCCTCAGGGCTGTGGTGAGGGAGAAGTCACAATTTCACCACTAAAAAGAAGCAGAAAAAAGACACCAGCAAACAATATAGGCATATTCTAATATTCATCGAAGTCAATAGGAAACTTGCCTTTTGACTTTAAAGGGCATTGAACTGTAACCCTGCAACATCATATTAAAATGCTTAGATGTACTCAAGTACTTTTTCTTACCATACTGCAGTAATAGAGCTAGAAAAACTGTAGGTAGGTTTTAATTTAACCCACTCCATACATTTTTAATTGTTTGTGTTTACATGGGTGGTTGCATACAGTTGGATTAGGTGGCAGTTTGCCTGATGATTTGTGTTTGACTGTTGCTACATGACATGCTCTTTTATAGTTTCTCTCTTTACGTAGTCTTCTTGTGAGCTGATGCAATCCTTGCCTAAATTAATGCATGCAATTTTCTGTGAAAGCAAAGATAGTGACTTCTGTGAGTTATAGTATTGTTATTTAGTGGTCCCAGTATGGTACAATTCCTACTCTGGAAGAGGCTGCAGGCATGAGTGTCTCTTCTGCTGAGAGGATTCAGAATGCTGCAGTGCATGCATGGTCCTATTTGTGGGACTTGGAAGAGGTCACTGAGCTATCACCACTACCGCTATGTCTACTGTTGATCGGTGTCCTTTACCAAGAAAGTACAAACCACTCCAAGCAATGCACAATTTAAACTTTGGGGCACTGGCAGACATTGGTGTAAGGGTAAGGAATTTCGGGGCTGACTGAAGGCTTCAATGTGCAGGAGAGTAAATATCACCCAGCTTGGTCTCTGTTATTATTCACCTGACTAACTGATGATTTGGGAATTTGATTAGCCATTAATCTTTGTCTGACTTCAGAGACCTGTGGCCCCTCAACATAGAGCAAATGGTTACCTTGAAACAAATCAAACAGAGTGGTCTGAAAGCCAGTTACTACCCATCTGGATGATGCAATTTAAATGGCATTGCATCTCAGTTGCTTCTACTGCTTGTCAGTCTGTGTTCAGAGAAGACCATTACCAATGCAAGACGGAGCTGAGAGCTGGCTGATTTGGAGATTTGTTGTGCTTACTTATGATCTTTATTTATTGCCTCAATTTCATCTGCACTGAATTCATGCTACATGTTTAAGTAATTAAAATTTAAGAGAAATACCTGCCTGTGAAAAAGTATAGCATTTGCCACTTCTGTTTTCTGGTACCTTGGATTTTGGAAGTCAGGACTGAACAGAGCACAATGAGCCCTTTGTCTTTGCACAGCAAACTGAATTTAAGCAATGCATGTTATGACAAATGGTATGAGTTTTGTGGCTTGGGCTCCAGCAACAAGAAAAGGCAATCCTTTTTTCCCATCAGCCAAATAATATGGCACCATTTAATACATCTGGTATGAAGCCTAAGAATAATACATATAATAAAGGAACTGAAAACTTTCTTCTTTTAAAAACTGAAGGTGAGGAGAGCTGTGAATTTTGCTTTGAGAACCATGCTGGAAGATGGCTTTTCTTGCCCCTGCAGGTCTGTAGTCTTATTTATAACCACATTGGTATTTCTACCTCTCTGTTCATTTCACTGATACAGCAAAACAACAAAGGAAGACGGAGTTTTCTCTTCTTTTAATGCATGGAGCTCACTGGAGGTGACTTCACTCAAAGTCTAGGATTTAGAAACCCCAGAGATTAAGATGATTTACTCTTTGCTTCTGCAGGATTATTGGAATCACTTTCTAATTTATTTTATTTTTAAAGAAAATGTCTTTTATTGAAAACCACTAGATTTATAGGTGTGCGAAGTATGCTGCTGCTTCTGTGGATTCAAGAGTATGTCCCAAAAGAATGACTATTTTTTTAAAATATATTTTATTTTTTTAAATCTTCTGACTTATTTAAATGTTATATGTGCTTATTCCTGTTTGGCCTGGAGAAGAATAAAGGAACTAGAGAAACCTACCTTCTGTCTGCAGTGTTGAGTCTGGTTTAATAGCAGGTTTAATTAAGTGGTCTGGTTTAATTAAATGTATGATTGTTGTAGATGGAAACCTGCTTGCTTATATGTGTTGGTGAAATATCTGTTTGGTTTCTTGTACAGAAAAGAGTCAAAGATGTCATCTCTCCAATTGTATTTGAAGCTGCATACAGCCTTCAGGAACATGTGATAGGAAGAGGAAAAGAGGACAAGGAACTATCTACTCTCAAGCCCATTCTCCGCTGGAAGAAAGGACAAAAGATAGCACAAAGGAATCAGGTCAGATTTGGACTATTTTATTTCCCTAGAAGACCTGTGGCTTGAACTGACAGCAGAGGTGCCTGTAAAAGTGTATTGCCAAGCTCTGGGTCATTTGCAAACAGTAACCTTTTTGCACAATCCCTAGTGTTGCTAACATCACTGCTGTTCCATAACATAGTAAAGACTTGTGCTGCCAAGACTGGACAGCAGTTGTTTCAGGGTGTCTGTGCTGGGAAGGGACAGGATAAGAGAGGTCTTCTTCCTCCTGTTCTTCCCTTTATGCAGGAGATTCTAGTGAAAGGCTTGGTCCTGGCCTTCTTTCCAGGTTGAGCCTTTGTTAGTGCCAGAGGGACAGAGATGACTCCAGGAAGGGACATGGGAATGGTGTGAGGGGAGAACAGTAGGCACAATAAAGAAAAATTTGCCTGGCTCAACTACCCTCTTCTTGAGGACTCCTCAAATCCAGTCATGTGGCAAGGGAAACCTTCTCCAGCTGTCACTGTAGGACATGTCATGCTAAAATAGGATGGGTTTATTTGAGAGAAAGTAAAGTGTAGGTAGAGCCATGTACATATTAGGATCTTATTTTGTTCCACTGCAATGCAGAGAAACTTTTTTGTCATTAATTTTGGTGAGAGTGAGATAATTCTCTTAATGTTGAAATGCTCCTCATTTAAAGGGTAGAAATTCTTTCTATTATTATTATTTAATTTCTCTCCCTGTGCTGAGTGTCTGAGCCTGACGTTGGTACCGGAGGATGGTGTAGGAGGTAGCTGTGTACGATGTGAGCAAGTGAGTGACTTGCTGTGCCTGGTAGCAGAACTTAAGGAAGAGGTAGGGAGATTAAGGTGCATTAGGGAGAGTGAAAAGGAAATTGACTGGTGGAGTCAAACCCTTTTGAACCCTAAGAAAGTCCAACAGGAGACGGCGAAGCCCTGCCTCTCCTGCCATAAGACAGATGGAGCAGACCAAATTGATGGGGGGGAATGGAAACAGGTCCCTAATAGGAGAGGTAAAAGAACTCTTTCTAGAGCCCCATCACCCCCCAGGGTGCCCTTGAAGAATAGATATGAGACCCTGGACCCAGACAGTCAGGTAGAGGACAGCCAAGAAGATCCCTCTAGAGAGCCTCCTTGTTCGGCCCTGTCTAAAAGACGGATTACAACCACAGGTATAAAAAAAAAAAAGAAGGATAGTTGTAGTCGGTGACTCCCTTCTGAGGGGAACTGAGGGCCCTATATGTCACGACTATGGAAGAAAGGGCTGGCTACTTAGGAAGAATTCAGGAAGACAGCTAGATCATGCAGAAAGAAAATCAGGGATACAAAAGCGCAATTTGAAGTTAATTTGGCCACTTCTGTTAGGGATAACAAAAAGTCCTTCTATAAATACATTAATAACAAAAGGAGGGGCAAAGAAAACCTCCATTCTTTGACGGACTCTGAGGGAAACATAGTTAATAGAGATAAGGAGAAAGCTGAGGTACTTAACACCTACTTTGCCTCAGTTTTTACCAGTAAGACAGGTGACCCTCAAGGCAACTGGCCTCTGGAGCTGGTAGACAGAGATAGGAAACCAAATAGCCCCCTTGTATTCCAGGAGGAAATAGTAGGTGACTTACTGAGTCATCTGGATCCTCACAAGTCTATGGGACCAGACGGGATCCATCCTAGGGTAATGAGGGAGCTGGCAGAAGAGCTTACCAAGCCTCTCTCCATCATCTTCCAACAGTCCTGGCTCACTGGGGAGGTCCCACATGATTGGAAGTTGGCAAATATCACCCCAATCCATAAAAAAGGCTGCAAAGCTGACCGTGGTAACTACAGGCCTGTCAGCCTGACCTCAGTGCCTGGTAGAGTTATGGAGCAGATCATCCTGTGTGCAATCACACAGCACCTACAAGATGGACAAGGGATCAGACCCAGCCAGAACAGGTTTAGGAGAGGCAGATCCTGCTTGACCAACCTGATCTCCTTTTATGATCAGGTGACCCACCTGGTAGATGAGGGGAAGGCTGTGGATGTGTCTATCTGGACTTCAGCAAAGCCTTTGACACTGTCTCCCATAATATACTCCTGGAAAAGCTGGCAGCCCAGGGCTTGGACAGGGGCACTCTGTGCTGGGTTAAGAACTGACTGGAGGGTCAGGCCCAGAGAGTGCTGGTGAACGAGGCTGCCTCCAGCTGGCGACCGGTCACCAGTGGTGTCCCCCAGGGATCAGTGCTGGGCCCAGTCCTGTTTAACATCTTTATCGATGATTTAGATGAGGGTATTGAGTCCATCATCAGCAAATTTGCAGACGACACCAAGTTGGGAGGGAGTGTCAACCTGCTGGAAGGCAGGAGCGCTCTGCAGAGGGATCTGGATAGACTGGAGAGTTGGGCTGACTCCAATGGGATAAAGTTCAACAAGGCCAAGTGCCGGGTCCTGCACTTTGGCCACAACAACCCCCTGCAGTGCTACAGGCTGGGGACAGAGTGGCTGGAGAGCAGCCAGGTGGAAAGGGACCTGGGGGTGTTGATCGACGGGAGGCTGAACATGAGCCAGCAGTGTGCCCAGGTGGCCAAGAAGGCCAATGGCATCCTGGCCTGCATCAAGAACAGTGTGGCCAGCAGGACCAGGGAAGTGATCCTTCCCTTGTACTCAGCACTGGTGAGGCCACACCTTGAGTATTGTGTTCAGTTCTGGGCCCCTCAGTTCAGGAAAGACATTGAGGTGCTGGAGCAGGTCCAGAGAAGAGCAGTGAGGCTGGTGAAGGGACTTGAGCACAAGTCCAATGAGGAGAGGTTGAGGGAGCTGGGGTTGTTTAGTCTAGAGAAGAGAAGTCTTAGAGGTGACCTCATCACTCTCTACAACTACCTGAAGGGAAGTTATAGCCAGGTGGGGGTTGGTCTCTTCTCCCAGGCAACCAACAACAGGACAAGAGGACATGGCCTCAAGCTCTGCCAGGGGAAGTTTAGGTTAGATGTTAGGAAGAAATTCTTTACAGAGAGGGTGATCAGGCATTGGAATGGCCTGCCCAGAGAGGTGGTGGATTCACCATCCCATGGAGGTTTTTAAAAAGAGATTGGACATGGCCCTTAGTGCCATGATGTAGTAATTGGAGTTGGATCAGGGGTTGGACTTGATGATCTTGGAAGTCTTTTCCAACCCAATCTATTCTATGATTCTATGATTCTATCTGTAACATTACTTTCTGATGCTGCTCATAACGTACCTGAATACTACTTAAAAAAAGTTTTGAACTGTATTTGGTTATAATCCTTGTATTTAAGAGAATGAGTATTAATTCAAGTATGCTTTATTTTTGTAAATGTATGAATGAAAGATGCATTCAAGAATTACTTATTTTTATGAAGAGGAGTTGTATGGCTGTTATGTATATGAATTTTGTATTGTTGCAAAAATATGATGGGAATTTGTGGAGAACTTTGGAACTCAAGTAGTGTGCTGAAAACATGCATGTTACATGAACAAAGCTGCTTGTATACTTTACCAATGGGCTTAAACTCAAAAGGTCACATCTTGCTCTGCAGACGTGGTTGCAGATCAGTATTAAAATACCTAAAAGCTGAGATTATAGTACAGAAATAAAAATATGTTAGGAATTTCCCTGAGTTGTTTTCTTGTGCAATTTGGCTGAGAGGGAGCCAGTTTAACAATCCCTTCCCATTTGCTTTCCAGACGTTGTTCACTTAGCTTAGTAAGAAAAGGATTTTGACATTGGGTGTGCTGGCATGTTTTCAGCTAAGGAAGTGAGAAGAGCTGGAGGCATGGAGGCATGATATTAGGGTCCTCAAAGGCCAATTTCATGGGAAAATTGGGATGTAGCATTCTCTTTCAGGATTCTTATTATGTTCTTAGTAGAAATGGTTTTTAAAAGCCAAGAGCTTTTATAATAAAGGATTTGCATTTTCAAAGAATCTAACAATTTTAAAGGAACATTTTGGAAGTCCAATTTAAGTCTTAGTGGTTTCTATTTTCAAAAGATATGGCATAGGTGAGGTCAGGTGGACAAAATTAATGTTAATGTTAGTACTAATGTCTTTAAATATAGCTGGTTGTGTGTTATTTTGGCAAGTCCTAGATCCTGTTGATCCAGTAAAAAATGGCGTTTTGGGATCAAAATTGTTACATCTGTTCATTCAAGGCACCATTTAAATAAGGATACTTTTCTGAAACACCAGGCAAATGGTTTTTGTGAATGAATGCAGGAGAAGAAGCTGGAAATAGTGAATAGCTGAAAAAATGGGAGGATACCATCACTGAGCAGAAAAGGGGGAGGCATCCGTTTTTCAAGATCCTACTACAGCTCTGCCATTAAAAAAAAAAAAAAGCCATATATTTTGCAAACTTGCAAAAGCCATGTATTTTGCAAACATGGACCTTATGTGACCTAGATGTGATTTTATTTAAACTAAAGTGATGTTAAAGGTGAAGTGATCTCTTTCACTGGTATTTCAGTTTATTTTCATGACCCAGATGTTTCCTGTATGTGTCACCTCCCAACAGGAGTGTACAGCCCTATTACTCACAAACAAGGAGGTAGGAAAGCCATCAAGAGGCCTCTTGACATAAGAATTAAAGATTATACTGATCATGTGAAGTTCTTTGTGTTCCTTTGCTCTGATGCATTTAAGGAGTCTGCTTGGAAATACTGTTCATGGACATCCACCAATAAAAGTGGCATCTCCTTAATGACATAATCACAGAAGAGGATTTTGTTGGATATTCATCTTTTAAATCAGTATTGCACTCTATGTGAGAGAACAGTCTAGCCCTGTACTCATCACTTAGACCAAAGCAAAACTATAATAGTAAAGGAGTGTATTGATGTGAGATGTCATTCAAAATGCTTTATTTATTGGTCACCTTCATTTTAAAAGGATGCAGCTTTTACTGTAAGGCACAGCAAAATGCTTTTATTTAAAAATAAAACAAAACAAAGGTAAACCTTGACTGTTCAGTGAAGAAGCCTGCTTTTATTCCTAAGTGAACTGTGCTTGAAACAATCAAAAG